CCGCCTGTTCTCCTCAAGGAGGTATTTCCATGCTTTCATCTACCTAAGCAAGAAATGTAAGAAAATAAACTCCATCATGTCTGAATGTAGCAGTGAAAGACACAGGGACACCAACACAAAAAGAAAGGACACAGCAGAGGAGGAACCAGTGTGGCTGCTGTACCACATCCCTCTGTGCTCCAAGGTGTTACCAGGTGCCTTCTGTGAAACACAAAACCATGAAGAACATGTTTCCACAAAGAACATACCAGCCCAAAACCACACTTAATGAAGCTCACTAATGTTTTACTACTTCTCCATTCAAGTAAATGGAGTTCCCAGTAACTATTTAATCTGCCTGATGTACAATATACATTGCTCCTGCGGTAAGGCTGCAAACTGATGGATACAAGGTTCTCATTGCTGCAAATCCTCTGCAGTGAAGAATCGAGACCAACGCTCAGTTTCTGTTGAAGGGAATTGTAAATAATAAACCAGAAAACTCTTTTTAACATGACAAGGATTTCACAGTACTTCTTTTCTTCTTACTTCAGCTTTCTAAAAATCCTGAAATCCATTTTAGTGTCCAAAGTGGTAAGACATGCTAATAGTTAATCAATCTAAAAATAAAAACTGAAGGATCCATTTCCTTTTCCTCAGTGATCTTTATTTAATAGCTGTGCTTTGGGATGATTTTCCTGTACTGGAACAGAGTCATTAGAACTTCCATTTAGGTCACATCTTTCTGCAGATATGTTAAGCATAAGGAGGTACAGGACAAAATAAATCCTCCGAGGAAGACACAACTCCAGCTATTTCTTCAGGAAAAGGAAAAGAACTGGACAAAGCGTAGGAAACGCCCTCCTCCAAAATATAATGGAAAATCCTGTGTCTGTCTAAAATGCTCCCAATTAAATACAGTATTTGTAAATAAAACTTTACGATACTTAAAGATAATGTCCCAGCACAAAAGTAAGCCACCGTAAAACAGTTACAAGAATCACTTACTTTTCATAGTGTGGCCTATATGAAATGCAACAGAGGTATCTGTGAAACCATCTGTAGCCCTATTTTTGGTGTTAATTCAGCACACTTACCATCAGAGATGGAAGCACAGCCGAGGAACGAACCCAGAACGCTGTGCTATGGCAACGAAAAGCATCTGTGGAAACCAGCAGCAGTACTGCCCTTTCAGGGTCTCATTTTTTCCCTCATCAACTCTGCCAAAAGGCCATTTCTCAAATGACTTGGCTCACAAAGGACGCACCTTGTTTCCTACTGCCTGTTTGACTGAAAACCAACGAGGATTTCTGCAGTCTCCACTGAAGCATCTCCCTTGCTTGTATCTCGAGGACACTGTGTGATACTGTGCCTCTCTCATCTTCCTGCAAAGCAAAACCAAAACTACACCCGTCTACTGGTCTAACTTGTTTTCTGTGGGTATGCTTTTACTCAATCTATTTATTTTGTTGATTATGTCTCTTCCCTGTGAAGCCAGTGGGGGCTGGGTGGCCTCCAGCCTTTCTTGTCCCTGTCATCCGGACTCTCCCCGACAAGACATTTACACTGACCACCCCGACCAACTTTAACTGCTGTCAACAAATGAATAACAGCTTTGCATTGGTAAGGTCGTTTCTGCCCTTCTCTTCTCAGCTGCCTCCTTTTCCAAACGTTATCCTAGCATTGGAGCACAGCAGCAAAGAGCTCCTCATCTCTATCTTCCCCTGCACTTTCATGTGTGGGATTACTTTTATTCAAGGACTGCTCTGCTGCGTTTCTGTAAAGGAAAGTTTCTGATGTAAGCAGCAGCACATCAACGAAAGACTCCAATGTTGTATAAATTAATAACTAATGCAGACTTTGTCTCTTATACAATAAGTGCTGCTTTCTCTTGTGTATGTTACGCATGAAAAGACACTGAAGTTGAGTGGCTTTGGCACATGGGCTACAAATGCAAGTACATTTTTTAAGAGAGATCTCTGCTGGGGTGCACTGAACTACATATTAAGCTGCACTAAATTTTCTGCAGGGTTAGCTTCAACTTCATGTTCCTGCACTGTTCCACACCACAGGACACCTGCATCCTTTTACCACGCTAAGTCTCAAATTTTTAAAATTTTAACTATCCATGCACAAGGCTTGCACCACAGTCACCTTTCTTCCTCACTGATGACCGCTATGTGACACGAGGGATGCCTGCTGATGGAGAGAGATCCCCTTCCCTTTTCTCCTGCCAGTCAGCACACCGGCAGCCACAAGACTTACCTGCGAGTGTCACCATACTCTTCTTTCAAAGGACCCGTATGTAACACCGGACAGATCCAAATCCTGCAGATAGACACATCTTCATCTCTGGATTGGACAGCAATCCAAGGAGAAGGCTTGGGTTTCAGCACTGTCTTCCTTATTTTAATTTACTGGACTAGGCTAATCAGTTTGCCTGATTAGTACCCAAGGCTGCGGTGTGAATAAATGGCTATCAGCTGAAGCCCAGCCTAGGTAAAACACCCATTAGGCAAGTTTGTGAAAATAAGCAGAAGTGATAACTGGGACCACTATGTTGATTCACTGGCTTTTGAGACCAAAATAAGTGACTTTGGTGTCCTGTTAGCTCTCTAGCTGTGCTAAGCTTTCAGAACACAGAAAAGCAGCCCGGAGTGCTTCTCCCCTACAACCTTTTGACAGCAACAAACTATACAGCTATAACTGTATCTTTGATTTCATAAGGACTCCTAGATTTGCCATTGCCAGCCAGGATTCCCGCACTGCACTTGTCGTGGATTAGGCCACTCCGGCAACCAAACCCTACACAGTCGCTCACTCACCCTCCCCCACCCCAGGGATGAGGGAGAGAATTAAAGGAAAAAAAGAAAAAGAGACCCATGGGTTGAGATAAGAACAATTTACTACTACTGCTATCAATATATATATGTACGGATATGTACAAGGATAAATATATACAAATGAGTGATGTACGGTGTAATTGCTCCCACCCCTTGACCAAGGCCTGTCTCTTCCCAAAGCTGCAATCCCGAAA